TTTATAAATAGTTTTTTCTCTTGTTGTAAGGTTTACTAGACAATGTTCTGCACTGAAAAAATGTAAAATGGGTTACTAGGCATAAATAAAAACAAGATACTATAGTCCAAGGGCATTTGACGTTACAGGGTAAAGAAAGGTAGGCAGTACGTCACAGTTACCCAGTCTTTAGAAGGGACTTACACTTAAGAATTTCCCTTTTAACTGTGATTCTAAGTTGACAGCCCTTAGCAAAGCAGTATGGAAGAAGAATGATTACGAGACAGGCATTCTTGGAATGAAGCCAGCATGTAAGGTACTAGCCTGTCATACGCAGCGATCATGAAGTTGAGGAGGAGGCTGATAGACTGTTCCACACTGATTTGGTGAGTAGAAGGAAGGCGCTTGTTCAACTGATAGTAGATGGAGGAGATGACAGTTTCGAGGCGGGACACACTGATCTCGGTGGTGTAGTCCAGTGTGTTAAGGCCATTGTCTCGGAAGGCTTCAATCATGTTCCAGATATCAACAAGATGAACTAAAAGACAAAGAAAATAAATTGTCAGCAATTTTAAAGTGTGGCACTTCCTTCACAGCTGGACACTTAAATTTATCAACTAGTTTTTAAGTTTAAAGAAAAGAAACTCTTCGGCCAACAATAAGAAAAATGTTCTGTGGTAGAATAAAGAACGTCAGTCCCAGAAAAAATCAAGGAGCCACCACTGTAGACGAGGACTAACTAGCTCCAGACTTCATATTTAAGTAACTAGTATTTCAGGTCTCTCTACATAATGACCCATGCAATTCCGAACAATAGGTAATTTGAGAAAAAAGATTAAGAACAACTCATAAGAACTTTCAGCCCTTTTAGTAACTTGCTATATCATCTTGAGTCACTTTATTTTATTACTTTTAGCCTAGCAACTTCAGCAACATTTTACAACTCAAGCTTTACTCTCTGTGGCCCTAAAAATAAAGAAATGAAATTGCATTAAGTAAAGCACTAATATGCCTAACAGACTACTCATAGCTCTGACCAATTTAAGCTAAAAAGAAATTTATCTTTTGCCTATTTTCCCTATTGCTTGAGAAGTTGATTTTTTTTTTTTTTTTTTTAATTTCATTTCCAGCAATAAGGTAGGCTAGGTACCTGGATCTACCCTCCCCTTACTAAAAATCCTGGGTGAAATATAAAAACATCTTCTTTAGTGCACTGGCAACTCAAGAAAAAAGTAAACAATACTCAACCAGACAGAAAAGTGACATTTCCTTGAAAGAACAATAGTTAGAATGGCCCCTGACTTCACACAACAAAGGAAGCAGAAGACTGCAACTTCTAACCAAAAGAAAGCTGATGTAACTTTACTTATAACAGAAAAAGGGGGGGGGAGGGGTGGAAAACGACATGATCATCTCAATAGGCACAGAAAAGGCACTTGGCAAAATCCAACACCCTTTCATAATAAAAACACAACAAACTAGGAATAGAAGAGAACTTCCGCAACCTAATAAAGGGCACCTACAAAAAAGCTCACAGCTAACATCACACTTAGTGGGGAAAGACTGAAAGCTGTCCCCTCAAGATCAGGAACAAGACACCTGAAGTGTAAGCAACCAAAGAAAAAGCAGATAAATTGGATTTTATTCAAATTAAAAATTTTGTGCTTCAAAAAATAACATAAAGGAAGTGAAAAGGCAACCCCAAGAATGGAAGAAAATATTTGTGAACCATGCATCTGATAAGGGTCTAGAATCCAAAATACAGCATATAAAAACTCTTACAACTAATCCAAAAAACAAAGATAACCAATTAAAAAATGGACATACAACTTTAACCGAAGCTTCCCCCAAAATGATAAACTAATGGCCAACAAGCACATGAAAAGATGCTCAGCATCATTAGTCATTAGGGAAATGCAAACCAAAAGCACAATTAGATACCACTTCACACACACTAAGATGGCTATAATTTTTTTTCTTTTTATTTTTTTGTTGTTTTATTTTTTTATTTTAATTTATCAATATACAATGTAGTTGATTTTCATGTCCCTTTAGAATTCCTCTTTCCCACTTCCCTTTCCCCCCACCCCACCCCCAATACCATCATAGCTGTTCACTTGTCTTAACAAGTTCAAGGAATTGTTATGATTGTTGTGTCTTCTTCCCCACCCCCTCACCATTTGTTCGTTTATTTATTTATTTATTTTGGGGAATATACCCAGAAGAATGTAAATCATCATGTGGAAGGGATACCTGTCCTCCCACGTTTATTGCAGCATTATTTACAATAGCCAAGAGCTGGAACCAGCCTAAATGTCCATCATCAGATGAGTGGATAAGAAAAATGTGATATATCTGGGCCGGCCTGGTGGCGCACTGGATAGTGCGCCGCTTGGGAAGCGCGGCGGCGCTCC